ATGTGCAAGTGCGACACATATACACACGTACATTCACGGGGTTACTTCAAGAGGGCGCGGGTAGAAAAGAAATTTTCAACCATGTAAACACGCGCTCGTGTCGCGTGTTGCGCGCTCCGGTTGGTGAAAACATTTTTTTTTTCCTTTTCTTTTTCGAGAACGCACGCAAAGTCGAGCAAGAAAATTGGTTGGATATCTCGGTTAAAAACCTGCAATTCGGCTTACAACTTTTCGAAGATAACAGTCGAAGCGAGGGTAAAAATGTCACTCTCGCAGAGAGCAAAGTTCATTATTGGACTGGAAACTAGATGTATATACACGCGATACCATTACTACTCTATACTTATATGCATCAAGTCTCATATTTATCTTGCGTTTCTGTTCTAGGCTTAAACAACTTTCGCAAGGGCTGCTTTCTGCGAGAATTGCGCTCCGAGGAGAACGAGAGAGCGAGACAGAGAAACTTACAGTTGTATAAGACAATGGAAATAAAATACAACTCTTGGCGTCCAAAACTTCGAGCAACGAGGCAGCGGTATATTATATAGCTCGCGGAGGATGTAACTCTAATAAAATAATTTTACATTCGCGTCGAAGAATTATATGTTTTTAAGTATATTCCTTAGAGAAGAGTTGAGAAAGTATAAATATTACGCATCTGCGTGGAGGACTACTTTGAGACCGGAGTAACTCTACTAGTGATTGTCGATCGCATAGCAACCCATATAACAAAAAAAATTAATATTTTCAACGAGAATTCGCAAGTATATATACGCGAATATCTTCTTGCCACTTGCGGATTTACAGTACTCTATCTGTTAGTGGAATCGAAAAGCTCCACAAAACGAATTCAGTAATAATAGTCTTTACACCTTCTTACAAAAATATAAATATAAGCATGGCTGTGTAAGAACGACGGTTAAGAGTTCAATTTAATCAGCATTCCACAAAAAACGCATACAATGTACTCTAAATACATAAATTTACCACCTTCTCATAGGTCCCGTAAGAAGTTTCACATCAAAAGTGAAAGTGAGCCAACGGCGCGTAAATAAGGGGTATACAGTAAGAAAATAAAACACAAGCAAAAGAGTTAAATCCTTACAAGTGTGATGGGTGCTTACAGTGTGCCGGAGACTTTATGAATAATATGAGTGTATATGTGTGTGTGCATGCGCACGTATATAATACAACAAACGAAGCCTTAGGCATCTACACCTACACTGCTGCATTCGCGGCGTGTACAGTAGTACAGTAGCGTTACATATATACCTAGCCACGCGGGCATCTGCAGCGATTATCGAGAAACCGGCTAATATAAGGGCGAGCTAAAACTATAGAAGCGAACCGCAAAATACGATACACCCACACACACACACGTCGATTTCACCCTAACTCTCGCGCTCCGTATGCGATGTCGTATGTGCGCATCATACATATTTAGTCCAGCGTAGCGAACTGACCCGCGCGCACGCGAACAATACGTACTATACTGTACATGTATCAAGACGATATCGCGCGCTCGATATTCCTGGAATCAATTAATTGAATTTTGGATTATGACACGGCCACACACACGCGTTACATATACACGTGTCCATAATATCGTGTCACTGGACTTGTAGGTTTTACTTTCCGTGGATTAGACACGTTGTTGTGCTACTGTACACTGTTGCTACTTTTTTCTACCGAGAATATGTAAGGTTACGCCACCCTGAGCTTGTTTGACAAGGGCATTAGGGATGAATTTGTAATTAGATAGCGGAAGAAAATTATTCCATTTGAGAATCTCACATGGTACCATCTCGCGCGCGTTATAATAACTTTGTAAGTAACAAGTTCTCTCTTCCTTCTTTTTTTTATTTTTTTATTAATTCTGAAAAAAAGGAAGAAAAAGGCGAACGCGCGCGCAAAAAGCGAAAGAAGAAACATTTCCAGTCCATCATCTAATTACGTATACGTATATATAACAAAAAAAAATCTCGACTAGCTCGCGCGCGCGACACCGGGTCTTTACCCTTTGTCTTCTTTCATTTTCTCTCGGCAGTTTCTTTATGTTGCATGGCGCTCGCTCGCTCGCGCGACTAGTAGTAGTACTAATATCAGTGTTCTCCGAGCCCGAGCTCTCTCTAGCACTGCTTCTTCTTTTTTTTCTCTCTTCCTTTTCTGCTTTTCATTCTCCGGAAGGGCTACTACCGGAGTGAACAATTCTGTCAAAGACGAAATGTAGGGCAAGCCGAGCGCGCGCGCGTTTTCTCTATCTGTCTCTAACTCTTTTTCTTGCAGACGTTCTCGTACCTTACTTTCTTTCCTTTTTTTACTCATCCGTATCTTTTCAAATCCTGAAACTTTTCTAATTTCGCGCAACTCGAGTCTATAATACGCATTTTGCTCTTAATTGACTCACTTAAGATCGAGAGGAAATTTATTATGGAGGATATTCTGCGGAGCGCGCGCGCGTCTCGAGTTTTTTCGCGTTCTCAGCGCAAATCTCCAAAAATTTGTAGATTGAAATTTTGTCGGGGGGTAGAATTTTCATACCATCTCGTCGCGTTCGATTTCCCGCCCCACACCCCCCTTCGATATCCGTAATTTTTTCTCGTAAGAACAGAAGGCAGAATCATCCGGGACTAACCCTTTTTCATCCTACTTTTTTTCCCTCTTCTTTGCCATACTTGCACGCGCTTTTTCTCGCAAAGAAAAACTTCTCCAAGTTTCTGCTTGCCCGAACAAATGAAACTTCTCTCTCTCTCTCTCGGGCTCTCCTGCGAGCGAGATTGAAATTGAAATAGCGGGTTTTCGGAGCAACGTGTATAACATCTGGAAATATATGTAATGAAAAATCGAGCATAGAGCGGGCGACCGTGTCCGTATCAAGCCTGTATAATGCGAAATCCGCAAAAGTTGTTCAGAGAAGCTGGCTGCTGCTCCGAGCTGCCATAGCTACGTAGAGCTTGTGCGCGATTCGTCATTAGCCGAAAATCCTTCCGCGACGACGACGACCGAGCGACCCGTACGAATCTCTTTGATCATTCGCCTTTTCTCGAAAATTAGCATAGAAACTTGCGTGGATCTCGCGAAATGCACTTTGCTCTCTCAATTTCAACTTCTTTACTTGCATGCGCGGCATTTGGCGTGGTCTTGTCGCTGCTGCTGCTGCCTGTGTATAAGCAAAACAAACTAAATAAGGGCCCGCCGCAGCTACTGGCGTCTTAAAAGATTTCAAACGGAATTTGGAATTATCGAAAGACTCGCGCGGGTAAACCACCAACGCGGTATATATAAGGTTTTGCATTCACGACGTAACTTTGTACACTGCACACGAATCGCGAACCGTTTGATCAAATCTTTGTCCCTCTTTTTCCGCGTACGTACAAACATACTTTTCGCTCGTTCGTTTTCTTATTTAGTCGAGCGCATTACTGAATTTCGCCAAAAGTTTTTGTACGAGCGCGTGTGTGCGAGCACAGGAGCGAAAAACAAAAATCGGACAATTAATTGCGAGTACATACACGTACAGCCTGTAATACGTGTAGTCTAGCTCATACACGTCGCGCGCCGAGTTCACTATATAGAGGAAGAGAGAGAGAGAGAGAGAGAAAAAGCCCAAAGTTGTGTACTGCAGCAGCTCGTCGAGCGCGCCGCGCGCTCATGATAATGCTCGAAAGAAAAAGTTTCACGCGGGTTAATTGAATTTTTGATATGCAACGGTATTGAGTCAAAAGTTTGTCGGACTACTACTACTACTACTCTTGAGCCAGCAAGTTAGAGAGAGAGAGAGAGAGAGCTGCTGCTGCTGCTGCGAGTCACGGGCAGGTCTCTACGGGCAAACATGTAACTAATCTGCGTGATTCCAAATTGACAAACATCGTTTGGGCACAGCTACAGCAGCAGCAGCAGCAGCTTTTGATGGAATAAAACTATCTCCTTGAAAGGATGTTTTTCTGCGCGTACGTTTCGCGCAGTTTCGGACGGCGCAGCCAGTGTCGGACGAATTGTGAGCGCGCGTGTTGACATGCGATAATTGAAACGCACATACGTCGCGCCCGCGTGAAAGGCTTGTCGTGTATACATCATGGTGTATTGCAGAATGAAACGAATGATCCGATTGTTCGTTTTTCGCTATTATGTGAGCCATGGGTATAGTCGATCGAACCCGAAGTATTGTACTTGGAAATAGCAATCCGCATCGAAAAAAAGAAAAAAATTGAAATAATAGCCCCCGGAGTCGTATTGGAAATTAATAAATGTCACGGTTATTAGTCGAAACATCGAGTAATGAATACTTTTACGGGTGGAAATTTATATATCCTCTCCCAAGGAGCGGATAATGAATTTGATTTAAAGATTAAAAAGTTTATTAAAAAAGTTTTTACGCGACATAATCACTCGCGAAAGCTCGCGAAAAAAAGATGTAACGCAAACTGTCTTGCGAAAGCCTGTCCGGGTCGTTCACCGCACGTACTGCGATATATGTAATACTTCATTGCTCCAAAAAAGCTCCGTAGCTGCGCGTGTATATACTTTTATCGATCAGAAAAAGTTGTTCATATTTCACGCGCTATCCTATATAAGAGAGCAGTTTTTTTTTATTATCAATTGGCGTTTTTTTGTCTTTTTGCGCCCTGTAGACGCGCGCGCGGGAAAAAACTCCTCTCCCTATCGCACTGCAATTGTGACATTGTGTTCGACATCGCGATGGAATTCGATTGTGTATATGTGTATGTTTGCAAGCTGTGCGGAAACACCATCGTAACGTAGCGTTGTGCACGCCACGTCACTCACGATATTCATGGGGGTATGTTGCATGAATCATCGATGAGCGAGAGAGACGTTTTCTCTCTCTCTGTGTCTCTCGCGCGCGGCACGATGTCATTCCGCCGAGAGGGTAATATAGCGCGAGGTACACGTACGTAAGTACACACATCTACATATACATCTTTATATATATCGAGGGAGTATAGATATATGGAAAAGAAGAAGAAGAAGACGTGACTCACCGGTGTTGCAGTCAGCGAGCGAAGCTTTTCCTCCTTGTGGATGTCCTTTTGGCTAAAGCAGCCTACGTAAAAATTTGTCACTGGATTTGTAATCCACTTGCACCGGAGCTGCAGCTGCTGCTGAACACTGAACCAAAATATTTTTTATTATTTTTTTACGTTACGATGTACCGATACACGAATCACTGTACGATAATATCCATTTTACACGTTATTATAGTTTGACTATGATATACAATCACTCAAAGCTCGGCACGTTCGCAAGCTCGTATATAGATAATAACACACGTGTGGATGGTATTATTGTATTATTATTATTATATCTACCGGTCGGTGCGCACCACGCCGTTATACGCGTATCGTGTCGTCGCTCGTACAAATACAAACAAGGCACGCACGTATCAACACACTTTTCTGCGCACTCGTGTATGCTAGTCCGTCGTGGTGCGTGCAGCACAGCAGACGCCACCACCACCACCACCGTACTCACTGTACTGCCACAGCCGCTACACCGTATACTGCTCCTGATGGAGAGCGCAACCCTTTTCGGAAAAGTCGCTCAACCGAATGCCATTTAATTTTTCACGAATTCAAAGTGCTAACGAGCATGCACGCATACATATGTGCGCGCGCGCGGCGGGCGCTAGTACGTCCAAAGGGGTGTAGTAAGTACGATTTCGTAATAAGGTCTGCTCTGCCTAATGCCGCCGCTGCCTGCAGGCGCGCACGTGACGCAATTTATCGACTCGCACAAAGTCGACGACGACGACGACGACTACGGCCGAGGATTATGCTGCTGGTACTGCTGCTGCTGTGCAGGCCAAATGCAAGAAGATAGACAGAGGCGCACACGGCTTACAAACACACCCCCACAGCCACACACACGCGGTAGTATAGTATAGCACAGGGCAGCACACGAACAACACACGCCGTGCGTATATATATGCGATGTAGAGTAGTGTAGTAAGATATATACGTATATTTGTGCCCCGTATGCACACAGAGCGACTGCGCAGTCACGATACGAACACGAGGGTTGCGCGGGGTGAACTGCCGCGCAGTGCGGATCCAACCTCGCGCCTCGTATACTCGTCTCGCGCGCGCGCTACGCTGCGCCGTCCGCTGCTGCTGCTGCTGCGTTTCTAAGGAATTTCGCGCGCAGGCGCAGCTGCTGCAGGGCTGGGATAGCACACTACACAACGCGCATATATATAGATAGATGGATAGGTGGTACTCGACTCTCGAGTCTCGAGCTTTTGCGCCGGAGAATATATCTATACGTATGCGCTGCGCGCTGTGCATGCACGAGTGTTGGTGAGATAGAGAGAGAGGGTGAATTATTTAGCATCCGGAGGTTTTTCGCGCACACGCCAGAGATAGCGATGCGATGCGCCCTGCTATACTACGCGATGCCGCTGCTGCTTCTGCCGGCGCCTGGAGTGAGAGCGGCAGCAGCAGAAAGCGACGCGTTTGGCCTTTTTTTCTTTCTTTAATGCTATACCTCTCTGTGTTCTTGTCCGCTCGGGCGGACTTTTGTTCTTTCGCCTATTTTGAGGAGATACCGCTTGCGCGTACCTTTTTTTTTGTTTTGCAGCCCCGGCCTAGCAACTGTACAGCAGGAGGAGTAGGAGGAAATGACTCGTTGCGCGAGCTTGCGAGGAAGGACGAGAATGATCGACGAAGAATCGAACGAATTACCGGAACCGAGCGAGCGAGCGCTTCGATTGATACACGCACGAGCTTCCTGCGGACTCTTTTTTTTTCTCTCTCTCTCGACAATTTTTCACCCACGTGCTTTCAAAGTTTGACGGAATTCTTTCTTCTTTTTTTTTTCTTTTATTTATTTTTGATCGGCAACTATCGGGGTAAATTAAGCTCGTCGTGTAACACGTACAATATATACGCAAAATCACACAGGAACAGCTGGGTGGAGGGTACCAAAACCCGGCTTACGAGTGTTTGGCATTCAAAGCCGATATAATTTAATTCACCCCTTTGCGCTCGCTCGCGAGCCCTATCACTCGCGGCAGCAGCGGCGGCGGGCCGACGATGCGAAAAATCCGAAAAGTCAAAACGACAACGCCACGTCGCGTCAGCTGGTCACCAGGGCGTATAGGCTGCGTGCATGCAGCATATACATACACGTGTGCACCCGCACCCACCCCCTCCGCTTTATACCTACCTACACTGCACACATATATTGGACGCGCCGCGGCGCGGCTGCAATTCGTCACGCCGTACGTAACATAAGCATATAATATACGGAACTTTATATAGCCGACGGTGTGCAATGGAGAGCAGCAGCGGCAGCAGTGGCGTTTTAGGTTGAATGGCCTCTGCTGGGATATAGCACCTCGTATATGCCTGAAATATACCGTGTAGCTCGACGTTCGGCTCTGTGCAGGCTTGCTGTACTGCGAGAAACGAGCGTAATACGTCGGGGGCTTTAATACGCGCCAAGTACCGTACGTGCGCGGCTAATAAGGATTATATGTGTGTGCTTCATATAAATGTCAATACACGACGAGCGACATAGAGCGCACACAAACAGATCGACATGACGACGACGACCTACATCGCCGAGAATGCTACGTACAGGACCGAAATCCGGTGTGTAGTATAGCGGGCTGAGTGTGTAACGCTTGGTATATACATAAAGCTCAAGTTGACGACCGGACAATCAAACGCAGGAGTCGGCGCAATTGATTTCTTTGCGTTCAATTATCGAGAGGGAGAGAGAGAGTCCCCCTTTTTTTCGGGGTATATAGGCTTTGACGTGAATTTCTTCTCAATGTGCGTGCTGCATATATATCGCCCTCACATTGCCTACGTAGTCATGAACGCGCGAGCGCGGGTACAAAACACGCCAGCAGCGTTCGCTCAATTGTTGGAAGAGCTGCGCGCGATTCGGACAATCGACCGGGATGACGAAAAAAAGCGAGCTCTTTTGTGTGCGAGAGAGAGAGAGAGAGGAAACGGAGCTGCTCCCGATTGTTGTATAACGCGCGAGAGAGCATCGAGTGGCCTATTGTTAATCTACTCTCATCGTTTTTTAATCACTGATACATACACACACACAGATCGGAAATTTTTCAATCAATTTTTTGTCGTAACTTCGAGCACTACTATTATAGGCTCCATTCATTAAGTGTCAATGCAGAGAGATCGACACGGAGGCAACTATTGCGAAAACGATATTCTTGAAAATTATTAAATCTGTTACATCGATCATCGTGGTACGTGAACCCAAAATTGCCAATTACCTCGATATACACTTGAGATACAAAATAAAAAAAAAAGAAATATCCCAAGCCAATTCATTACCCGAACTCTTCGTTATCCTCGATTTTATTCTATTTCCAATATTCTATTTCTCGATACCGTACACGCTCTGTATATTGACATACGTAATACAATTTAACGGCTATAGAGTTTTTGTTCGCCTGTGCGCTATCTTTAGTTATTCCACACAAAAGCCCGTTAAAACTATGATAGTCACGAGGCAAAGACTTATTAAGTGCAATTTCACGCGTTCACCCTCAATATCAACAAGAAAGAGCTCCGAGACTAAGAGAGAGAGAACAAGCGAGAGCTTAGGATAGTTCGAGCTCTCGGCTACGTGTAATAGACTCTTTCGGGGATACGTCTCGTGTGTGTGTGGCGGTGTATGGCGGAATATAGATAGATAATAAAGCCGAGGGAGCTTCGCATCGACCACCGAAGCGTGGAGGGTTCACTGACCAAAATTGGCTTGAGATTTAGTTGAGTTATATGTATGGCAGGAAAACGTTCAATGGATGATATATAATGGGGTTTGACGATCAATTGAAAAACTGATGTACGTTTTTTTGATGACTTGATTGAATGATGTGAAATTTCAACAGAACAATATGAATGAAAAGTTAGTTTTGATCTATGAGCTAAGTTTTCGAAAATTTCTATTATATTCAGATTATTATCAAAAGTTTCTTTTATGAATGTTTAGAGAATAAACTGAATAATCTTTAAGAATACAGTGCTAAGTGCAAAAATTTATCAAGAAAGTAAGTTATCCAATGCACCCATTTTTGCCCACAGCTACACTTGACGCTTCATGATAAAACAGGTGTCTCTTTTATCGCGGCATGGTCGTTTGGATAATCTACCACGAATAAAAGTGGAATCGCTTTAGACTTGTTCCTTGAAAGGACTACAATCAATAAAATCGGTAATATAATTATGAACATTTTTAATTACTTTATATCATTATTTTATCTATGAAATCGAAAATAAAATCGAATCAAGTATAGAAATTCAATATCAAAGTACAAAATTCATAAATGGAAAGTCGAATGCTAAATTGATTTTTTAAATTAAATTTCTTCTTTTCAAACCTCGACATTCGATACATTCTCTCTCGTTTAATGTTAATTGCATACGTTACAGCGTACGAAAATTACACGCGCTCGAAGTTACGGGCGAATTTCCAAAGAAGCCCTCAATTTTCAGCAATGCCTACACGTCAAATATAAAAGTTACCCGCGCGATCGAAACCGACTACACCATCGCAGCCTTCCATCCATAATTGCTCGCGCGCATCGACTCGTCTCGTTCATCGCGCGCTTCGAACGTGCAACTCCGCATGGCTTCGAAAATAAAAGGGTCGGTCTCTTCGAATTTCACGAAAAAAATACGCGAGCGCATATGTACTTCGATCGAGCTTCCATATATATTCCACTGTAGGCGGCGTTTTATGTAATGCAATTGTGCTCTCCGCGAACGGAAACGAACGCATAACGCATCGCGTTTATACCGAAGGAGCTGCGAGTTGGCACGGCTATAATAATATCGCCATCGACAACTGTACTCAACGTTGACATTTATATTATTATACAGTGCTCTGGCCCCGTAATAAACCATCCATCTGCAGAACAGTAGTACTGCTGTATTTGCGCACGTTATGATGCGTGTCGATCATGAGCCCGGCATGAGAGCAGCACGAGAGAGAGAGAGAGATTAATAATACACCTGCGTACGTTATGCGTGCGTGTCTATATTTTTACGAAAAAAAAAGAGACTCGAGAGCCGCTCGGAAGGTCGGTGTGTGTGTGTGCTATGCAAAAGGCGCGCGGGAAACACGCTGCGTTGATTTCATTTCGCACGCCTGCACACATCGGAACTCGATGCGCGCCGCGCACGTAATGCAAATTATTTCAAGGTCGCGCGCGATGCTAATTTAACCCTCTTTCTCGTATGAGTTTCGAGCCTCTTTTGTTGATTTACCCGCTGTACCCATGTA